TCATCGAAAACAGGTTGGTCATTCCGAGATCATTACAACAAACAGTGATCAAATTAGCGCATGAAGGTCATCAGGGGATAGTCCGTACTAAACAGCTACTCAGAGAAAAGGTTTGGTTTGTCAACATAGATAAGCAAGTAGAAGAATTTTGTAAAGGATGCGTTCCGTGTCAAGCGTCAGTACCAGGACAAAAGTACACACCATTGAAGATGTCACCCCTACCCGACCGACCGTGGTCTGAGGTCAGCATGGATTTCTGTGGACCATTTCCGTCGGGATCCTACTTAATGGTCGTTGTTGATGATTATTCGAGGTACCCTGTTGTCGAAATTCTATCAAAATTAACAGCAAAGGCAGTGATACCGAAACTAGACAACGTTTTCGCCTTATTTGGAATTCCTGATGTAGTCAAAACCGACAATGGACCCCCGTTCAACGGATCGCTCTTCAAGGAGTTCGCAAAACATGTAGGATTTCAACATAGGAAAATAACACCGTTATGGCCACAAGCTAATGGAGAAGCGGAACGATTCATGAAGACCATTGGAAAAGCGATTCGAGCCGCACATGCCGAACACACAAGCTGGAAACAGGAGTTATACTGTTTTTTGCGCAACAATAGAGCGACGCCACATGCAACAACAAGCACAACACCCGCTGAAATACTACTAGGCAGAAAATTAAAAACCTGAATTCCCGAGATTATTCCATCGTCCAAAAACACAGAAATATCTCGCAAAGATCTAAAAGAAAAAGAAAAAATGAAGAGATATGCAGACATTAGAAGAGGAGCACTAGATCATAAGCTGCAGCCGGGAGACAAAGTTCTTGTAAAACAACAAAAACAGGACAAACTATCAACTCCATACAGTCCCGAGCCGTACGAAGTAGTTAAACAAAAAGGCTCTATGATAACCGCTAAGAATGATAACAAAGAAGTCACCAGAAACGCATCATTCTTCAAGAAAACTAACGAAGACGAAAGGTCATCCGAGGTACCAGACGATTCCAGTAATGACTTAATTACCGCACAGCCGGAGCCTAGACGGTCAACTCGCGAGCGCAGACCACCAGCGCATCTAAAAGATTACGTGTGTGCATTGTGTGAAGATTTGTAATGGGGCATAATAATCCCCAAATCATAATTATGTAGTGATTTTGTACATAACATTAGTAATTGTGCATGAATATATTGTCGTAAAAAGTTCGAGGAAAGAGACATCAAAGTTGAACAAACATTTAGAAAATTACTGACAATTCTCAAAATGTAACCCACATGAACTTTGATAAGTGCTAACAGTAATTAGAATTATTTCGATGTACATGTTTTCAATTAAAGAAAGGGAGGGATGTAATGTTTATACTCTAAATTAAATCTGTCAATCTATAATTAACAATTAGAGTGCCAGCATCAGAATGTTTATTTTCAATCAAGCACTGCTCTCTGACATTATCAGTTCTCACGATAAAGTTCCTCTCCCTAATTTCATCTGTTGTCAATCATTATCATATGCATGGGAATTTGTTCAATCTGATGGTCACTCAATAAATAGTAAGTAAACTAGACAGACGTGTTCTTTTTCCTCTCTCTCACAACATTACAGAAGTGACTTGTTAAGTGAATATAACATATATATACAAGTATGAGCTTTCCTAAAAAGCATGTCTGACGTGGTTTGCTGAAATTCATTTAGCGGAAAGAAATGATAGTGTAGGAGTTGTAATTTACACTACTTAAATATTTTTATTTATACCCAGGTTCGTTCCGAAAAATAATTGAAATTGTTCAGGATCAAGGTTAATTTTCCCTAAAGTCTGTCTCACCAAGTTACTGTAAGCACTTTTCGCGTAATATCTCAAAATATATAAATACCTTGGCTTTCTACCATGGTCCGATCGTTAGATCATTTTTTTTCCAACCTTCCTCCGTTTATCCGAACCCTCGAGGTCAACCAGCGTATACACACGGCGGCAAATTCAAAGTCTACGGGGTATTAACATGGTAAACTCGTCCATTAGCGTCTCGATTACGGGGCCGGGAACCAGTTTTCGAGGGGAGTAGTCGTTCTTTGCAAAGTAAATTTCCAACAAATCGTAAAAAATCAAAGGATTTAATTTAAATTGCTTTTATTGGTAATTTAAATGTAACTTTGAATTAAAATAAATTTTAACAGCATGTAACAAATTTAATTATAAACTACGAGAAAATAGTTCGAATCTAACGAAGTACAAGTTGTGGATAATGGTTGTTGACATGTGTTGATTCAAGCTCGCCAGTCTCAGTGTTAAAAGTAAGTTGTTTATTTATTCTATGGAATTTTTCTGCAGCTGTAGTTGTTTTACTAGCTTATATGCACACAAAAGAGAAGGATCTACAAATGCTAAGAATATTTATATTTCAAAACGCATGATATTGCTGACATTACAGATCTGCTTAGGGCTCATATGCATTGGTAAACCGTACTAGTCTAAGTGCTCTGTAACAGTCTGTATGTAAGCACATGTGTGAAAATTAAAAGGGGTATATCTATGATTTTAATAGAAGAAGAAGATGGTTAAACGAATAGGTGAAATAATACCAAAAGGGAAATAACAGCTGATTATAACACATTAACTAAATTTTTGAAAATTTATTTCTACTTTCATTTTCATTTATTAAATTTCATGTGCATGCATTTGGCAGATAAATAACCAAAAAATTAAGCAAGAGATCTAAAGTGCATTTTTATATTTATGTGTAGTGTCAACACCATAGGGACCTTCATTCCCAAATTCTGTAGCCTCCAGTATACTCATAAATATGTATACTATTCAGTTCAACTTTAAATTTTAAGATTTGTACAAGTATATATAGCTTTTGATGAGGAATATATTTTCATTTCAAGATTGACAAGATCATGGTATTAAACTAAAATGGGAACAGATATGGTCACACTTGCTGATGATACAACCTGAAAGGGGTAGGATGGGTATGTCAGGAAATCCTTTTTTTCATGTAGGAAAGTTTGGAACTTGTAAATTGACACATAAATGTTACAGACCATTCAACAATTCATCAGATATATCATATATACTCGCTTATAAGAAGTTTTTTGGGAGTTAAAGTTTGGGCCTAAACTCTTAGTCTGACTTATAGGCAAGTTATAAAAAAGGTTGGTATCTTTTAGGGATCAATCCCTCTCATGTTTATAAGCATAAAAAATGCAACCAACTTATAGGTGGACCGACTTATAGGCGAGTATATACGGTACTCAATTGTAATAATAATTCTGATTTCATCTGTTAATATTTCCTGGATGTAATTGTCTATGTTTTTAATATGACACATTAGGCCATCTGAAAAAGATTGTTTTGTTGCCCTCTCTCGACCAACTGACTAAAAATGGCCAACTCAATTTTTTTTTTTCAAATTTCAGAGGTTTCTTTTCTTTTTATTCTCTTTATCCCATTAACAAATTTGTTGAAATTTTATGGGAAAGAAATTCTCCAACCTATCCACAGGACCAATAATTTTACCTTGATTCAGGAGAGGACAAAGAAACATTATTTTAAAGATGATTTGGCAGTAACAATTTATTGTTCTAATAGGTAAAACACTTGGTCATCATCCATGCTCATAGCTCTGTCTCAAGTTTAAACTTGTTTGAAAGAGATTATGATAATTATTTGCTAATTTGACACCTGGTTTTTGTAGCACAGTGGATGACAAATCCCATTGCCTGACACCCAGGACTAACTACTTCATCGGTAAATAAAAAAAAAGACAAATTATTTAACTTCAACTGCTTTAGGGAGAAAAATGTACCAAGATTTCATAATTTTTTTTACAATTATAGCATCAGTTATGCCCCTTACCTCTAGTAATTTTTAGCTCATCTAAGATGAAAGCTCAAGTGAGCTTTTCTGATCACCCACTGTCCGTTTGTACAAAGCATCTTTGGGTTAAGGGGAATTGAAATTGTTAAATGATGGGGCCAGGCCCCCTTTCAAGGGGAGATAATCAAGAAAATACTAAAATAGAGTGGGTTTTTAAAAAAAATCTTCTTAGGAAACACTGGGCCAGAAAAGCTGAAACTTATGTGGAAGCATTCTAGAGGAGTGTAGATTGAATACCATGGATATGTCAAAGTGATCTGGAAGACCCATGAACCATGCACATATTCTTTAAGTAAATTTAAACTCAATATTATGAATCCTAGGATATATCTCAAAGTTCTTTCTCAGCTCCATGTATATAGTAATTTATTGAATTAAATTTTAAAAACATCTTTCAAATGTATTAAGACCTTAAATACTCTCATGTGTGGATTACAGTCTGCATAGGTCAAGACACCCCCCATCCCTTTCCATTTGGGGTTCAAATTTTTATGTTAACAAAGAGGGAATAGTTCTTAAAAATTAGCTGCAGCTGGACAAAACGTTAATCAGTGTGACTTATTGACATTTTGTTATTGTCTCTCAGTGTAAGGCACTGCTTGAAAAAACACCTTTACAAAACTTTACTTGTGAAGTAAATTTCATTAAAGGTGCTCCCAAAAGCAAGGTCATCTTTGTATTAACTTTACAAAAAGTAAAGGTGAAAAGGTAACCTTTAATTACACGAAAAGATAATTAAATATAACCTTTCACCTTTTATGCCATATTAAAGTTCATTAAATATATTGTAGAAAATTCTTATTTAAATGCTGACTATTGTTTAATACACTTATTCTTTGGAAATTAAATATAACCTTTCACCTTTTATGCCATATTAAAGTTCATTAAATATACATATTGTAGAAAATTCTTATTTAAATGCTGACTTTTGTTTAATACACTTATTCTTTGGATTTTCACAGTTAGTTTAAAGAATCTAATCTAGTCAGTACCCAGAATTTTAAGACAAATGTCATATATTGTTTTTATTATCTTGTATCCATTTCCAGTGGAAATTAGTATTAGAAATGGTCATCTACAGATTCAAACACTCGACTCAAACACTTGACAGACTACACCTCAAATGATGTAAGCCAGGTTAGCTTAGTTGGAGCAGCTGGCGTTTATTTTGATACATGTAACAAAACATAAATTTTTAATATACATTACATTGAATGTGAAACAATAAAGCACTGCAATGCATTTGCAAAATAATTTACATGTAATAAATTGTATCCCTATCACTGACATTAAAAACCGCCCAGGCAAAAACCATAGATGGTTAACTATGGAAAACCTGTGTCCGTCGCTATGTAAATAATGTCTCAAAGGAGAATGCCGGACGTGCATTCGGTGCAATAGTTAAAAATGCATGAACATCCTATAATATTTGCATGTATGAAAAAATCAAAATTAAAATACATTTCAACAGTTTTGTTATTTCCATTACCAGTATATTTATACAAATATGATATATATAAAGCAAAAAAAAATGTGTATGTATTGAAGAGCACTGGCTTAGAATGATATGAACATATTACTGAATACTCATTTCTCATTGGCTTTTCTTTGGCCACGCCCACATATACAACCAAAACCATTGATATACATTCCTCGCATACAAAGTATTCCCGCTATACTGCGAAACACAGGAAAAAAATATTATCTGCACCAGGATTGCCTACAACTCTCTGAATTGGATGACATAGATCTTTAATATGTACATTGATATTAATGATAAAGTAATTAAAAATATAACAATGGGAAAAATTGGCATACTGATATTTTTCATTTTCCAATCAAAAATGATCTAAAATATTCTGTATTTTTGCTTCTCATAATATGATCAGTCAGATATACAGCACAAACAATATCCAGTTATAACCTTGAATATAAACATTATATTGAGCTATCTTTGACTTTTGCTTTCCTTTAAACATTCAGATACATGTGAGAAAAAATACAAAAAAGAAATACAGATGACAAGTATAAATTTTACATTTCTGCTTATGAAATGGAGGTCTCATTTCACTTTAAAATATAATACTAATACATGTACAATATTTATTCTTTCTGGTGCATGTACATATATAAAATAAAATTTGCAGTTTAAATTGAATTAAAAATGTGAAAAAAATTACATAAAAGGCTATTTGATTTGCACTTATTATACACAGGCTAATAACATCTTCAACTTGTAATGCAAAATGATGCATTTTACATATTCACAAACACAAAATATGGTGAAAAATCTATTAGAATAGATGCGGGGATGCAGTTTGCAAAATGCATGAGATCATGTACGAGTCCAGCTTCACCCCATGAGCCTGTCTATGCTTGATTTAATTTAGATTTGTTTTTATGTCTGTGGTAATGTTAGTGTGTTTGCATATGTGTCCAGCTTCACACATTTTCATGTATGTGCTCGACTTCACACGCCTTGGAAAATATGTAATAGGTTGTGTTAGATGCTTGTGTGTTTGCATATGTGTCCAGCTTCACACATTTTCATGTATGTGCTCGACTTCACACGCCTTGGAAAATATGTAATAGGTTGTGGCAGATGCATGTGTATTTGTGTATGTGTCCAGCTTCACACATTTTCATGTATGTGCTCGACTTCACACACCTTGGAAAATGTGTAATAGGTTATGGTAGATGCATGTTTGCATATGTATCCAGCTTCACATATTTTCATGTGTTTGTTCGATTTACACGTCATAAATGTAAAATATGTAACCAAAATGGTGTAAAACATTTACAAGTGTATGATGCACAAAGAGAAAAAAAGTTCTGTGTGTTTTGTTCTGCAAAAAAATAAATTATGTCCTGTTGAGAAACTGACAATCAAAATAAAGTAACATATTCATTTTACATAACTGTACTGAAAATCACTCATCCAGTTTAAATTACTGTACTGAAAATTGAATTTGTGCAAAAACTCTGAATGAATAACATTTAAAACCAAGAATGCTTGCATGTTCATCTATAAATCTCCAAGATATTTACTAGTTAGTTTGTAGCGCCGCATCAGGCAGTCTTATAACACATTTCATAATGTCAGTTTGCATGAATAAATCAATTTATCCTTGTTCATATCTTGCCGAAATTCTAGTCTACAGTTTATTTACACAGCACATCACAAACAGAAACATTCAGGAAAAATAATTCACTAAAAATAAAATCCAAGTTAAATAATCACATGTACATATAAATCCAAGAAATATTAGGTTATATTCCAAGTAAGTAAGTAACTTTATCTATCTCTAACAGTTCTATCTACTAAGTCTTCTATATTTCCACCTTCCTACCTTATTCTAAAATTCTGTCGCACTATATATATACACCTGTACTCAAGATCCGCTCCTGACGATCAGGAGCACATTACATGTATAAGATCCTTAAGATCAGGAATCAATACACAGGTCATTACAATCAGCAGGGGGTTATATAAGAGGGGCGATTAATATACAGATAAGATGATAATGTGTGAACAATTAAGTATTGAAGAGTTATATTACAGATAAGATATTCTAAATCACTACATGTTTACAAATTTTTGATCATATCATTGATAACAGTACATTTTCTTGATCATGACATCTGTTTTGGATTCCCCTCTCTGACATCTTTTCTTGTTCACCAATTAGTTCAACAGTCATCTGGGTACTCAGGTGTTGTACAAGTCCTAATAATAATAATTTTCAAAATTATAAAGAAAAAAAAATATAATTTTTAAATAGGTTTTCATTACTTCTATTGAAATTAAAGCACAAGCTTTTGAAGACATACTTAAGTAACAACACATGTATAACTAAACATAATGGAAATTTAGACAAAGCGACTCAATGTCAAACATATGATAGTGATACATCTGTAATATCTATGAAACTTACCGAGATGCTTAAAATGTTTATGGTGTGCTTTCACTATAAAGCTTAGCAGTATATAAACATCTCTTGATTAAATGTTGAAGTCCAATCCTCACCTGACTTGCACATTCATATGGATTGGTTCTATGTTGATAATCTCTTTCAACAATTGTCATCACAACATCTGAAAGTCATCAATCTTCAAAATAAATCTGACGCTCACCTCTCAAGTGTATATAGACTCCCTGTACAAATGCATGGAAAATAAGATTTTGAATAAAAAATGAATTATCTCCATATCACCATACCTGGCCTTTTTAAAAATGTGAGGAAATATTTTAAATACTTTTCTTTAGATAAAATCATGTAGTAAGTATCCAACAATGTTGAAAAAAAAGTATCTCTAGAATTTTACATTTATATTGAATGTAAAAAAAAAATCAAAAGACATTACCTAAAATGGAAATAAAGTACAACTGTGACTGGTGTCTCAGGCACAACCAATATACACAAGACCTTTCCATCCTTAGCAGCATGCATTAGCTCCACATTCCTTGCTTCTGCAAAAATATACAATGAAAATTTGTTAAAAAATGAGAGCGAAGCTTTATATTGAATGAAAAATGCATTGTTCCTCTACTTAAAAAAAATCAAAAGGCATTACCTAAAATGGAAATAAGGTACAACTGTGACTGGTGTCTCAGGCACAACCAATATACACAAGACCTTTCCATCCTTAGCTGCATGCATTAGCTCCACATTCCTTGCTTCTGCAAAAATATACAATGAAAATTTGTTAAAAAATGAGAGCGAAGCTTTATATTGAATGAAAAATGCATTGTTCCTCTACTTAAAAAAAATCAAAAGGCATTACCTAAAATGGAAATAAGGTACAACTGTGACTGGTGTCTCAGGCACAACCAATATACACAAGACTTTTCCATCCTTAGCAGCATGCATTAGCTCCACATTCCTTGCTTCTGCAAAAATATACAATGTCAATGAAAATTTGTTAAAAAATGAGAGCGAAGCTTTATATTGAATGAAAAATGCATTGTTCCTCTACTTAAAAAAAATCAAAAGGCATTACCTAAAATGGAAATAAGGTACAACTGTGACTGATGTCTCAGGAACAACCAATAAACACAAGAACTTTCCATCCTTAGCAGCATGCATTAGCTCCACATTCCTTGCTTCTGCAAAAAACTATATACAATGAATATTTTTTAAGAAATGAGAGCGAAGAGTGTAACATGTACTTCGGGGAACAGAGGAAGGAATTTGAAGTCAGATTAGTTATATTTCTGCCAGTGTTGGCACGGGCATAGTATCCGGGGGGGGGGGGGCTTGCCCCCCCCCCCCCCACTTTTTTTCCAAACCAACATACACTATTAGAAATGTACCAAAAATGTAGTATAAGAATTGGAACTAAATGTAGTTATCACTGAGAGAAAGTTACCCCCCCCCCTTAACTCCCCCCTTTATTCCCTGCCCCCCCCCCCCCCCACTTTCAAAAAAAAAAAAAAACACGAAGCTACGCCACTGGTTGGGACGGATAAATTTCCATAATTAAATGAAACAAATTATGCGCAACAAATAAGACACATGTATTACCTTGCAGTCACCGGCCCACATAATGTATACAACTGACAACATCCCAAATCCCTTTCTTTGTTGTTTACTTGGCGGAATTTTCTTTGCCTTCTAGACTGGTTCCCAGCTCTGGTTCCCATACATTGCCGTGAATAAGTCCTACGTTTATTGGTTTTGTTTACAAGCTTCAACATCAATAAAATCTCCAGCACATTTACAGCTTGTATTGTAAACTAAACTGAAAACATATTTTACACAAAATTTTTAGCTCAGTATTATGTTATCCTCTTCATTCAAGTAATATGTAAACTCTTCTCGAATGTAAAACGAACGATCTACTCTGAACAGTAACCCAAATATGGCACTGTGTATTCGGTTGAATAGCCAATCATTTCAAATCAAGTTGAGCGGGTCTGCATCGTTATTTTGACGAAGTTTGAAACCAGTGGTAATTTTTTGACACTTCATGTAGATTTAAGAAGATTCTTGCCTGAACAACTGCTCGAACTCCCGAGTTGACATGCTCTAAAGGTTTGTTTACGATTTCCAGCCGTTTTTACTTTCACTTTCAGATCAGTACATTGTGCATGTTGTGAAAGAATTAAACTAAACAAAGTCACGGAAAACGACGCTTTGTATGTTATTTTCTGCTAGGATATTAGATAAGTACTTTTGATAATTCTGGGATTAAATGTTTATGTGCGCCACTTTATTCTGTTAAGGTGTATGAATCACAGGGGCTTGTCTGCCGGATTGATAAATGTAAAATATTTTTAAAAATTTGTATCTACATTAACCATGTTAACTACACTCTAAAAGTTGCTTTAAATTAATAAAGATTTTGATCAGGCAAGAAAAATAATGTTGTAAGAAAAGTGCTACACTTATCAGGGACCTATATATACTAATCTATATACATGTACATAAACTCTCAACTTTGAGAGTTTATTTATTTTTATTTATATCATTTTGTATTTTAAACTGTGTCCATTTTCATAAAACACACGTATAGTGAATTCAGTATGCAGATTATTGAAGGGAAAACATCAAGACGGGGCAAGGAAGACAACAAAACATGATTACCCAGATTGAGGATCCCAGTGTTCTTTGGTACAAACACATTTTAATAATAAATTTCATGAAATCTGTTACTTGAACAAACATTTACATTATTTAGTGCTTGAATTGCTCGGGAGTCAATATCGTCATATATTTGTAAAAAAAAATGTTCAATTTCCTTTGTATAGTCTCAAGCTACTCAGCCTACCATGAGAAAATTAAAAGATCTGTCATGAAGAAGAGGCTGGTTCTCAACTTTCATATTATAAATGGCAAGTATTGTTTAGAACTAAATTTAGATTATTCTTGATAAAAAATAACATAAGGGTTTTTGTCAATTCATAGCTATTATTTGTGATTGCACTGTGTATTAATTTTCATTATCAATTCATTCTCTGGTGACCAAGTGCAGCAGTTTGCTTCAAACTCATAATTTTCTTTAAAAAATATTGACTATATTTGTCCATATGTACAAAATGTTAATCAGGCCGAAATTAAAAATATCTTTGTTTCCCCTAACCCGACCCTAAATTCTCAAGTTGGGTCGGTAGGTAGGTAAACAATTTTATTTTCTTACAGCAGCTTTGATAATACATTCTAAATTTAATGGAAAAATAAACTATATATAAGAAAAGTACAAAATCAAGCAATTCGTGAACAAAATGCTAAGTACATATGCCGTTTAAAAGCAAACGTACTTCATGGTTAATTAATTCACAACTGTTATTTAGTTGAATTTGTGAAATATCCCACGCCATTTAAATTGAATAAAATAGACAAGATTCTCAAATACACAAAGACCAGACATACGTGCGTATTTTTGTCAAACCTTTCATCAGCCTTCAGAGTTTATAGACGATCAATGTACTTTTTGAGGGCCATGAGATTTGCAGTGGTTCTGGAGCATTTTGCTTTGGAGTTAATAAGTGGCTAATTTTAAATCGCAGGCTCAAATCCCAATGAGTAACGTTGAGAACGGTCCTTCAAAGGGGACCATAAAACTTGTGTCGCAGAAGATGCTGGTTCAAAAAAAAAATCCCCCACTGCTTAATGGCAAAAAAAGTGCTGAGTATATCTAAATTTGGAGCAATGGTGAAATGTTTAAATGTAGTCCTAACAAATCTCGAAGGAATTAAAAGTTAAGAAAAACTTCAAGGGCCAAATTCAATACAAATACACTGTATGTATCAGGAAGCTGAATCATGATTTCAAAACTATTTGGAAAGAGTATTTTAACAATAATTAATTGAATCAAACCTAAGCCGTTCTGATAAAAACTGATTTTGATGAAATTGTATTTTATAAAACTTGGTAAACAATAAAAATAATTTTTGAATCATATTATTTAAAAAATCTTTTCAGTCGGTGCGATTTATTTGAGTCGGTCGCGTTAGGGGAAACAAAGGTATTTTTTATTTTGGCCTCACGGTATGAATTCTATTTCAGCATGATTGTCATTTTCAATTTGAGGGACTCTCACATAAAGTCCTTTTACTGTTCCATATCAGGAAAAAGGTCATGAGCTGAAACATGCAATTGGGGAAAAAGGTACATATATCCTAAACCATAACTTCAGTATCATTCTGTATACATGTACAGCTAAATTAAATACCGTATAAGTGGAAATTTTAGCGAGAGGCAAATTTTACGATTTGTCCTTTAAAACTGGTAATTTATTTTTAGCGAGATGCTATTTTAGGGACTTTAAAATGCACATTTAAGAAACTAATACAAATAAAACGCAATTAATTTTTAGCAATATTTAATTTTAGCCATCTCAACACCCTTGCTTATAATGCCAAAATTAAATCCTCGCTAAAAATTCTACTTATACGGTATGTAGCACAATATTGTTCTCTTTGTAAACTGACAACTGAGTAGTCAGGAAACCTATGATTTCTCAATATTTCAGGGATTTATTCTTTGTTTTTGTGTAGTACCCTTAAAAAATACATATTTCTCAAATTTTAATTGATAGGCTTTTTGTGATAAGGGATACATGACCTAACCCATTGATTCTTCATATAATATGTCAATAACAAGAGTTCCACTCATCTTATTAAATTAATAAATTTACATTTTTTGCGTTTTGAGGTTAAAGGTCATGTATGAACTGTTTATTTATTAGTAAGGTTGTGCTTTTTTTTTTTAGTTTTATTTATCATGGTATTGTGAATTCTGATAACACGAAGCCGTTGAAAATATTCATACTTATGCATGGCACTGAAAAAAATACTTTTTTTTCTTTTAGGAAAAGCATTAGGAAAATGCCTGCATGGGGAGAAAAGTTTTGAACTCTGAAAAGGGAGGTGTGACAAAAACATTTTGACAGTTGTTGATTTCCACTAAAACCAATATCAATAAAAAAGAGGACATAAAATAGTTTTATGTTGATTCACAACTTTAAATTCAACAATGAACAGTTGGTTTTATTATAAAACATGTCACATACAAAAAAAAAAACATATTTGTGAAATGTACTATGTCTTTGATATGTATGTAATTTGCAGGATAGGATGTGGGCAACATATACTGCCAAGAATCTTGTTGATTTTGTTTTTATGTTTGTAAAAAATAATGTTTTGTATTGTAATAAACAAAGTTAAAGTCAGCTTTTTCTTAATATGTTTATTAATTATGATGTTTACATTTCCGCAACTTATCAATTTGGAAGGAAAACTTATTCATAATTTGAATAAGGCTTCATTCACTGGAATGGAAAACGGAAATTATTAACTTTTGTGGTTATTAAATATGGTATTTAATTAAATTTAAGGTTTGTAATTATCAGATTGTGGTTATTAAAGATGGTATTTAATTAAATTTAAGGTCTGTAATTATCAGATTTAATATATCCTAAATACTGTCTTTAATGGTTGTAAATATTAACTTTACTTTTTTGTAAAGTCAAGACAATGTGGGACATTACATCATATTTAAGTGCATGTAAAGTTAATGTAAAGGTTACCTTTTCCAACTTTGACTTTTTTCAGAAAAGCCAATTAAAGGCATTGTAAATAATAAATTTACATTATCTTTACTTGTTTTGTAAAGCCAAATTTTCACGCAGTGAGGGGTAAGGGTGCAAGTATTGTTATTGGAACAAAAATTTTGAAAATAATAATATGACTTGCCTAGGCTTTTGAATTGGATAAGGAAAACTTATCTTAGCTTTTGAATGATAACAGATTATCACTCTCTCCCCCTTCCTCTTGTCAAGATCAGTTTTCATATGCTTTTAATATACAGTCAAACCTTAATATTTAGAACTATTGTAGACTGATCCAAGTTTAACTTTGAGATATATGATGATTCCAAATAACCAGGGCACATTAACTTAACAGAAGATGACACTGCCCAAGTATTTCAACATATCCATAGTATATCAATATTCAAAATAACCAAGTTTATCTGTAAATTTTGTGATTTCAAAGTCAGTGTTCTTTGGTCACATTTAACCTGGAAGATTAATTGTTTAAGCCATTGCTGTTATATATCTGCCACACTGACTTATAGTTTTGAAACCCGAAACAAAATTCTCCAGGAAAAAATGTTCATTTTAGACAAAAATTTGACAATTATCCAAGAAAAAATGAACAAGTACATATTGTTGCTCACTGAATTCTTTTTTTCTAACTGTAACCTCAAATGCGTCGCAAATGAACACTCGTCCCTATAGAATTTTGTCCTGATTGCTAATTTTTTTTTATATTGAATTCTTATTCGGGTGTAATTTCATATAATATAATTGTCCAATCACAACTTCTTGTATGCATTTAAGATATTGATTTCTGATATAGATAGCTCTCACTGATGCATGATAATATTTAAAAAATATTTAATTCCCATCTATCAGATGGTCATCTAATTATAGAAGTTGCGAATGGCTCATATTCTTGATATTAACATGATTTCAATTTTAATTAACATACATGATTTGCAACTTATGGCTTCACTATATTCAGGTTTTTACTCTATCTTAAAATGAGGAAGGTATTTTTGTTGTTGTTACAAATACCATTTCATGTACAAAGACTGTTATTGGCAGTTAATTATGGGAAATCACTCTTGGAAAGAATTAATTACATTTTCTCCTCTAAGAGTTATCTTTCTTGTTTACTTTCAAATGTGGTGTGTTTAATTTATTCCATTCATAAAATCTTCATTCTGAATATATATTAAAGTATAGTTTCTCAAGGATACGTATTGTGTATAGCCAAGAATAAAATAAAAACAAAGGATTCAGTCTTCTTTTCTTTCCTTTAATACATAATAATCTAATTGACAATGTTAAGAGGGCGGTTAAAATTTATGCGGGGTTGAATAGTCCTGTCACCCATACCAAAGGGCAAGGTGTTGTTTGACGCAAAGTTTATTCAGACAACTTGAAAACTTGGCCACGTTATTGCACCTATAGATAAACTGGGACATTTTCAGTGTGTGAAGTGCTTTGAAAGATTGTAATTCTGTTCGGATATACTACTTAAAGTATGGATAACTATTACGTATTAGATTTATACAGATGTATGGTTATAGGAGTTGCTTCGAGGACTGTCCCCGTGTTCATGAACTGTGAAGAAGTTCTCGTGAGGTAAAGTCGGCCTTTTTGTTACAGCAATTGAGATAAATGATCAGGATCTTTTAACAATGACACCAAAAACTAATTAATTTATATGATTTCAATTTTTTCCTGACTTGAAGACCTACGGAATATAACTCAGCCAGAAGTTGCAAACGACAGTGATAAACACTGTCGACAGATAGTTTTCGTCAATACCTTCAATGATTTTGCCACTTGTCGGCTCCTCTTTTTCTGTCTCGGCATTGTTCGTTAATCAAAATTGTGTGTGAAGTTGTATATATAATAAAAAATATGTATATAAATATAAGTAAAAAGAAACCGGATATCGTCTGTTGAAAGTAAACGCATGCGTAAATAACGACAACGTGCGCTGCGTTGAACGTCAGTGACGTCACCGACGGAAGGCTCTGGAAACTAACGAATACGTAAAAATAATATATGATCCCCTTCCGAAGTGGCGGTCATTTTGACAATGTTAAATCCCCGTAGACTTTAAATTTGCCGCCGTGTGTATACACTGGTTGACCTCGAGGGTTCGGATAAACGGAGGAAGGTTGAAAAAAATGATCTATCTATCGGACCTAGGTTGAAATCCAAGGTATTTATATATTTTGAGATATTATGCGAGAAGTGGTTACAGTAACTTGGTGGGACAGACTTTAAATAAAACAACTTGTGAAGTTTC